TGTTGCAGCAAACTATTTAAGCTTTTATTACTATTTCAAACATCCACTTGACTGGAAGTGGTTTTAATTCGGTTTTATATGCAACCGCTGTGAAATGACTCAACACTTTGTCTTTAGCACACCCAGTTGTAATCTCTGACTGAGCTTTCCTTTCCTCACATAAGTAAACATAGATAGTGAAGGCAAAATTACTTTCAAGTTTCTTTCCATTATACATTTCCTTAAGTTTTATAATGACCCTACACACGTTATACAGATCATTTTTGTGAAACAATTATTTTGTTTAATTGCTGTTAATGGGGAGCGTTTGGGAGTCAGGATCCAAGCAGTCAATTTTAAAGCACATTTCTGCACATAACTGCTATGAAACGACATTCAATTAATGGTGCATTGGTCTGATTTCACTGTTTTTAATTGCGTGCTGGACTCACTGGTTCGTTGCAACGGTTGCCAGCCATTGTTTCCAGCTCAATGACACTTTTTCAGGAGGACCCGCTTAGTCTCAGTGGACACGTAAAAAGCTCCATTGTGGAGCGAAAACACACTATTAACTTGCAGGGTTAAACAAGGTTTCTGGAATTAATGTACAGGGGAGAAAAAAAAAGCTCACTGGTTACATAGTGAAAATTCACCCAATCAATCCACTAAAATAATTTCAGATTTCCCTGGTCTTTGATTTCTTACAATTGCAGTGATCTTTGTTCCTCGTGCGTGAGTTTCCTCCAAGAACACAGCAGTGTGGCAGCAGCTTTTAGCTTTTCTTTCCCACTCATCCCCAAGTTTAAAGCTTGACAACATGCATCTTTTATATTATGCATGCTCTGATACCTGACTTCAGTTTCCAAATGGTATTCAAATGTAGATCTGCACTGATTTACAGCATGTGTTCCTCGATTGCGCAGGATGCGGCATGTTAAAACCTGATGCGACCTGAAGTCCTTTTACAACCATAAGGAGGTCGGAGTAAAGAACAGGGAGGAGACTTGGTTGCCAGTGGATACAAACAGTGGGAGCATAAAGTTTCCATAGCAGATTTGCCAAGACCAACGATGCAAAGTATGATCCAGGATGGAAGAGACAGCGCTGTTATTTTCCGATGAGCTCTGTCCGGAGCTCAGTGGGGTGAAAAAGAGTGGGCGTGACCGTGTAATAAGAAGTCCCCGTTTTCCCTCGGGAAGTTACCAAAACAATAGCTCTGCTGGTCACAAAGTCATCCTCAAATCCAACACTTGCACACACATGAGAAGGCAAACTCCAATCAGACGAGTTGCCTTCAGTGAGATGTGTGGAGAGACTGGATATTATGTAAGAAATGTCTTAACTATTATTGTAGTTTAGCTGTCTTAAAAAATGCCTATATGAGCGCCATATATTCCTTCAAGAAAACCTCAAAGTATTGTTAAAAATCTAGAAAACTAATTAAGAGATTTTTCTTTTTATAAATTAAATCATATGTTCTGGGTGTGTTTCTATCTTTTTCTTTTTCCAACATATACAAACTAAAAATAGAGATGCACTGAGAAATTAACTACCACTACCTCGTGGTACTGGCAACAACATTCTTCAGTGCCGAAGTAATTACTGAGCAAAGAAGTTAAATATTTTTAAACATAAAAGAATAAAGTCAGGAGCACAAAAGACCTTCTGAAATTGAGAATTTTCTACAGAGACATGTCACCTGATCTTTCAGGCTGAGTGATTTGTGCCTGGTTAGATGAAATATAAACTAAACCGCCTTCTTTACATTTTGGGAACAAATTCTGACTAGTTTTAGCATATTTGTAAAATGTAAATTAAAATAGAATCTGCTCTAACAATTTCTAAACCCTTGCATTAAGACAGTGATCCCTATCCCTAAATATTTTTAAAGTCAGCATCCTACAGGTCCATAGCTTCAACAGCCTCAGCAGCTTCCATCCTATATGGGCAAGTTGTGCTCAACGCAGCACAGGGAAATGCCACAGAAGTGGTTTCTGTACAAGAGAGTCTTTATCTCTGAGTGCAAGCTAAAAGTGCAAGCTGTTATCTTGAGGGGCTTTAATTTTCCAAGAAAGCATAAGAAAAAAATACAAGTATTTCAAACTCGCAAAGACAGTTTTGTTTTTTGGGGGTTTTTTTTAAGGTTGAAGTAGGACTTGAAAAAGCCCCCTTTGTAGAAAACATACATACCCTCTGGAAAGGAAGCATTTGCCCGTTAGGTAAACTGCATAAGAGGGCACAAATGATTTCATTTTAGAGGTCAACACTTTTCTTATGTTACTTTTATTCTCCTCTCAGTCTAAAAAGAGAGAAAGATCAGCAGTTTGAAGAAAAATAATCTGCTATGTGCCATGTATTCGAGAAAAAAACTAAAAAAATGGCATTAAAAATTTAAACATGAAATGTAAGTATGTCACTTTAAGACCAAGCCTTGTTCATGATGGCAACTAGAAAAGTATCAAATGATTCCTTTCAGTCAGTTTAAAACCCCATTACACAGATTAGCAAATTCAAAAAAATGCCCTGACATAACTGGCTTATTTCAAGCAATAATCTGAACTCTAATACCTGCAAACAGGAAGTGTGGTCTATGGAAGTTTGGTCTATGGCCTCTGTGAAAACAATACAACTGATCTGCATGGAGCAACCAAATACTTCTGGAGAACTTTCAAAACACACATTTAGAAGACAGAGTCAAGTATCAATATGTCTAATATTCTGTTTTCAATAGAAAAGCTTTCCTCTGTTTGTCATCAAAGAGGTTCTATCAATTCATAAAATCTACAATTGAGGGGAAGAACTCAGAGGCCATTCTTTACAAGTTGTTGTAGGCTGACTACAATTGATATCAGGAAAGATAAACATATTACAGTAAGCTTTCAATCTTGACAGGCATCCTCTGATCTTCTTTGGACATTAAGGGACAACTAGAGTCTATCAAATAAGCAAATATGTTATCACTATGCAGAATATGAATGCATGATAACAGAAGCACCAAATATTGCATCCAAGTAGTCATTTAAAGGTGCAGTGCTGCATTCACTGACACTGTTATGAGTTATTGTGCAGTATTAATATATCATGCTTCTATTAAATTGATTTCATAGTTAGAAAACAATCATTTCTAGGTTTTCTGGTCAAATAAAAACATAAATGTTTTAATGGGTTTTTCACTATTTTGGGGGAGAAAAAAAAGATGAAAAGAATAGCTTGTGGCCAAATTACAAAAAAAAAGTCTGAACAAAAACTATTTCTGACATCATCTTAAAATTCTATAGAGATATTTAATAAAACACAAGAGAGTGCTAAAAGTAGCCTTTTTAATCAGTTATGTATAAAAACACTACAAAATTTGATCAAATTATGTCCTTAAAGTTATTAACAGCCCCATGCAGCTTCATAGACGTAGGTTGATAACACCTGATTTAGTAGACGGTATGTTAGATACAAAACATACAATATGCATTTGAATGCTACACTAATAAAATATTTTGGCTGTCTACCAATGCTAAGAAACTTTACATTTTTGCATTTATACATCAGCACCGTAGCAGTAATTCCAAAGTCTTGCGCTTCAAAATGTTTGGAATTTTGTGCTTCAAAATCAATTACCGTTGATTGATTTTTACTGTCAATTACTGTTGATTTGATCTCAATAATAATAAATTATAGTCCTGGAGTATTGCTAATATGACAATTAAAAAAAGGTCAATTGTCTAAATAACTATGATATTGTTTTTACCCATCTGTCACTGGTAGGAAAAGAAATCTAATGGCTCAAGCAAGAGTGTGAGAAAAATATGGGTGATTAACTATTAATAACAACAACGCTAAAGATAGCATCTTCTACATGGCTTCCCATCAGTGCTAAAATGCTGTGTTTGAGCTTTTTTTTTTTTAATGAGTCTGGACTGTAATCAATCATGTCTACTTCAAAATCCTAATTGCTTACATTGGTTAAACCTGAAATGAATACAGAAACCAAGCACAGAAAAGAAAAAAAAACTTTGGAGATCATTAGATCCCTGTTTGTTTACAAAAGCCCAAACAGGGAGAATGTATTTGCTTTTCTTGAAATAGGACCACCTTAGAATTAAGTTGGTCAAGCTAAACCTGGAGTGAACTATTCCTACACAAATCAGATTCTTAAAAATAGTTTGTGATCTTAAAAAAAACAAAACATATTGGTATTTTCAGTTTTCATTAAAAAATAAAAATAGCTTCCTTGTGAACACAAAACATTAAGTGGCCTCATATGCGTCTAATCTCTTGTAACAACTTTTATATGACTTCATCTCAAGACCATCCACGGGATGTTTCACGACCCACAGTGGGATCACGACCTCCACTTTGGAAATATGTGATCATGTGTTGCATTTTTATACAGTTAAGGAAAAAATATATACTTCCTGTGTAGTGTATATATTTTTTCCCCTCATAAAGTTGCATATTTTGTTTTCAGTCACGTCTCCCAACTTAGAAACATGTGAATCGTTTTTTTCCCCATCGAGTGGGATGGGCGTGAACGCAGTTTAAGTTACTGTCTTATCATGCAGCACTAACGACACGGCAGACACAGAAGCTTTAAAATGCAATGTCCTTCCCTGTGTGGCAGTGGTTGCTCACTTTTAAGGCCGAGTCAGGCAGGAAACTCTTGTTTCGGGTTTCTCTAATTGATTTAGCGGATAAAAGGACCTTTAAGAAAGTATCACGAGGACAAACGAAAGGGACTGTTTTCCAGCAAATAGTCTGATCCTGGCTGCACGTTAACGGCGAAGATGCCTGTTTACTGCCTCGTACATTATTCTGTGTCCAAGTCAAAACACAGCGAGGTTGGCCAACTCTCCCAATCCCTTCAGCTCAGCCTAGATTTAGAAAAATACAAGCCTATTGCTTGTTTTTTCGTTTTCCAGCTATCTAAGCTAGAGTTCAGCGCCGTAAGTTCCGCTTTGGGTGAGCTAATTGTGAGACATTTACAAACTGCCGGTTAACAACATGCTAACAAGCTAATGATCACATACCAATCACCTCCAGGAGCTCGTAATCATCTTTGTTGATGGACCAGGGTTGGGAGCTCGGGTCCTCGGACATGGCTGAGAGAGTCTGCTGAGGCTGATATTATCTGCGGAAAAGGTGCTAAATCCACCAGAAACTGCAACTGAGAACAAGTCAAAGTAATCCAAACAGAGCCAGCAAGGGCGACACTTCCCCTTCTTTGCGAATCCCGCAGCACTCCTGTCATTCCCAAAGTTTGACACCAGCCGAGCAGCGGCCCCGCCTACCGCATTCCTCCCGAGCAAACACTGGACCTTCGTGGCGGTGCGGCTACCAGATAGGTTCGGCTCGGCCTGCCAGATCAAGCCGGGGTCCTGCGCTTCAAGATGAGGTTCCTTGTTATGATTGGCTGGACTTCCGTGCGTGCTACGTGAATGTCGGTACGTCTTAAAGTGAGATCAGAGAAGAATTATATGTTTTCCATCAATTGTTATAGTTATTATTTTCTTCAATTTATTATTTTTTTATTCTGTGATGTGCCTAAAGTACAGTGCACGTTGACGATAAATATATTTACGATTTTGTTTGTTGTTGATTTTTTATGTTTTTGTGAGCTCAGGCTAATTTTTGTAATATTAAACGTAAAAAAAGACGTTCACTAAAAATATGAACTATTGATTCATGGATTTTCTTTTATTTCTCCTAATTTTCTCTAAAGTTTCTCATTTCCCCAATGAGTTAGAAGTTGTTCTTTAAGAATTGCTCATGATACATTTTCTGGTCACAATGTGAAAAAGTAGTCCCATATAAACTCAGTTAGACAGTTTATTTCTTTAGCATTAAAGTTCTTACAAATATTTATTGAAAACTTCCCATTTGTCTTAAGGTGGCTGGAAGAAATTTTCTTAATAAGCAGTTTATCATTAAGCTCTGTAATTAACAAATAAGTCAAATTTAAATTGAATTGAACTAGTACAAAAATAAGAAAATGATGAAGTAAAAGTATTTATTATAACTTTTCATAGGCAGGATACCTTTTATTTATCCTATATGATAGAATTCTCCATATTAATCTGAACACCACGTTGACATAACACACACTATTCCTTTAAGTATTGATGTATGCCAGATACAGTTGTATCTGGGTTTTTTATTTATTTATTGGATATTTCTAACTACGACATGATACTACTAAGAATGAAGTGCGAAGCTGTGATTATGTAACGACCTGGTATGGAGCAGGGCTTTCTGGTGATTTAAAGAACTGCAACTGATGGGACGCATATGCGTAAAGGTGGGGACGTCATCTGCCCACGCAGGACCCCCAGCCCGTGTGGCATCAACCGGTGGGCTTATGTGTCACATGAGCCAAACTTCACACCCTAAATCAAATAAATTTTTCTCTTTCTTGAAGAAACGTGCTGCCAGAGCTGATTCATCTGAAACCACCTTAAACGCGGAAGTGCGACGGTACAGGCTCAAATAAATAACGTCACTTAGCAAAACTGTACCGAGAAAACACTCTAGGAAGTGGCCAATAAGTGGCCGTGTCTGACTCACGCTGACAGTGATATTGTTTGTGAGTCAATATTACGGCTCGTTCTTACTTACTTTCCTGGAGTTGAAAGAAGAATGCAAGTTACAACAATGAAGTTGGTTTCTTATTTGTCAGACTCAAGTTTAAAGGGCCATTTCATCCTAATGATGGATCAGGTCCACATTGGTTCACCCGCCTCCAATTCACAATGTAACGAATATAAATTTGTTACATTGTGTTGCCAAAATGTAACGTTTTTTTTTTTTTTTTTTTTTGGGGGGGGGGGTTCAGAATTATTTCCGCACAGAAAATGTCTTAACAAAATAAGTGTGTAAACCTGATCTCAGTCAGCTGACAGCTGCTGCACTTTGACATCTACTTCAGTATCACACTTTGAACAAGAGCAAGTTGAAAGGTCCTGCTGATTTGATTAAGGGTGGAATTGCCACCGGTGCCGAAACGGAGGCCAACTTCCGGATTTGCGAAGAACTTTGTGAATCAATCTTTCGACTGAAATAAAAACGTCCTTCCACTCTCTCTTTAACATAAAAGTATTGGCAGAGCGAAAAGATGAATTTTCAGCCCGGGTAAACAGCTTAAAAAAAAGCCAAGGAAAGAATAGCTTTCACGTGAGCTTCCCTTATAATTTTAGGGTTCAACAGCGCCATCTGCTGGAGGCTTATTTTTATTTCACAATCACACTGAATAAGCGTCACTCCAGAACACGCCGTGCTTTCAGATGTTCCCACGTACTTTTTAAAAACCAAAAACTCCGCATGGGACAAAAAGGTGATTTTATTTATAATTATTTCAAACAGTCATTTTCTAAACATTTATGCAGGTAAAATACACACTTATTTATAATTAAATAGTTCTAAAAATTAATTGTAGACAAACCTGAAACACAAAAAGCACGAGGCAGAGATCTGCTAAGCTTGTGCAATAATTACAGTCACAATTTCACTTCCTGTTCAGCTCTAATCTTGTCTTAATGTCCACTCAACAGAGGAAGTAAATAAGACACTTAAAAAAGCTTTCACAGAACACATAGCACATCCTGCACTGCATCTGAAAAGATGTCCCGCATGTAGAAAATAACAAGCAGTGTAACTTTCATACTTTAGTAACATATTGAGAACTTTAATGGTGTGCCAGATGAAAGGAATGATGATGGAAATGTAAGGTAAAGTAAATTAAAATGTGCTAAAACCCTCAGTGTGTTCCAGTGCCATGACAATACACACAAAGAGAGGGAGAAAGTGGTGACAATATCTACTGGCATCCCTATTAATATGTTTAAAAAGCCTTAAAATATTTATTTGATTTATTTTTTGCAGTAGCACAATCTTACACTGACAAAAAATATTTACCCTTATTTACAAAAATATATCTTATTATAGCACACATGGGATTTAGAATGTTTGTTTTGCCCTTCAAGCGGATAATGTATTCAATACAAATTAATACTGAAAGATTACTGAGGCAAATACTGAAAGATGACACTGTCTTGGAAATAAGACAGAGGAATGATAATTTTTTTTTTTAAAAAACTATAATTTTCTCCAGCCTTTTTCCTCACCAATCCAACATATAAAAAATGAAGGTCTGATGTTTATAAAATTATCAGTGTGTGGTCATATTTTAAGATTTTTTACACGTCTTTAGCAGACATGCCGATATATGTGGAAACAATGCATTTGAATCTGCAATATCTGATCATTGTCCAACATAAAACTTGCAATGCAGTAAGAAAAGGCCCCCACAGACACAAATCCACTCCTTGTTCTGCAGTTAGGGCAATGAGAGCGCTTTGGCAAGCCGAACCCAGAACCAGGCCTGGGTGCAGGGCCGGGTGTAATCACATACTGTCAAGAAACGCAGGATGCTGGGAAACGGTTTTTTCATCGACTTGTAGACCACTGGAATGAGACGTTTACTTCGAGCCCCTGGAAAATTTTCAAGGTTTAGTTACGGAGTTTGCTGTAAAATACAGATTTAAGCCATTTTAAACTGGCAAGAAATAGAAAATAAAAATCCTCTTTACCAGGGCAGAGGCTGAGAGCGAACTTGGTCTGAAAATCACAGGCATCGCTGTCCAGATATTCATCAGAAATCACCACCACCATCCTCTTACACCTGCACACATGAACAAGCAATACAGTCAGCTGAATGTGACACAAAAGTAAAGTGGGGAAATTTGAAGACTTTCTGCACATGAAAAGTTTTTTTGTTGTTATTCTCATTCTATGCTTAAATACTAACAATCAAACTTGTTTGGGACTGATAAAATCTCCACAATCACTGATAGTTGAAGCTTGATGTAAAAAAGTTAAGTAATTAAGAGTTACGAAACAAACAAAGAACATTGTATTGGTAACATAACACCCACCTTCTCTCAATCAGCTCACTGGTGATGGTCCACACACATGAGCCTGGGAGCACGTTCCTGTCGAACACGCAGAGTTTCAAGTTGTACTCTGTCTGCTCCAACTCCCGGATCATCTCAAGGACAAACTCAAAGTCGCTCTGGCAGTAGCAGATGAAGGCATCAAACATCTCTGGGATACCTGGGGTCAATGCATTTTGATTACTTTCAGCAAAACTTTAATTTAGGATAAGATTTAGCATTTATGGCTGATGAGCAAAACATAAAAACCGACGAGGCTGTGCATGAAAGAGTGTGATGCAAACTTTCTGATAAGGCATCAGTCTGAGATAACTCAAAGCTTTTTCTGTGTTGATGCTCTGCTCAGAAACAATGGTCAGACTTAAACTACTACAATTATTCTTTTGAGAACATAGAAACAAGTAGCTCGAATAAGAAGGCTTTTATAGTTCAGAAAGAATGAAATAGGACCATTTCATTTAATGAAAAACACATAACTTTTTATAAGCTTTTTTTCAAAATGCTTTGGGTGGTGGTAAACAAACACTGTGCATGGCTGTGGCAGCATCATGCTTTTGGGTTGGTTTATTCTGTAAAAAAGCATGTCCATGTGTCAGAAGGCGACACACAAAGTCTGTGGCAAGATGTTTCACTTTTACAACTTTATCTGTAAAAAAAAAATAAAAAATCTGTCTGAAAAAAAGCTTCATTTTTTTGTCCACTTAACATTTTCGGACAACTTTATCACATGAAGCATAAAAAAGAAATATGAATTTGTGGTTGCAACATATAAAAACAAAGAACTTGAAGGAGCACAGACTCTGTGCTCCTTCATGCACTTGTGTTTTTTATTACAAGAAGTCCAAAGCCACTTATCTTGTACGTTTGAGTACAAGATAAGCAACATGAAGCCTCTATAGTGACGAACCACAGGCATCCTGCAACCGTTATAGCAAACTGATCACTGAATTTGAAACTACAAGCTAAAATGCTTCTTGTGTCAAACGTTTCAGCTGATCTAGACTGTGTCAAACACATCTTTGTTGTAAATATTTTACTCAGAGAAAAAGTGTGACAGTGAATTTAGAGAAAGACAAACCTCCTGGGACGTCGTCCACAGTGATTCCAGACCTCTCTGGTGTGCGAGGGACACAGCTGTCGACTTCGGGAACCTGGACTGGCGGCTCTGCTTTCTTCTTTTGGGCTTGAAGGTATTTCCTGACATCCTCGTCTGGTGCCAAAGCATACATGTTTATGGAAATAAGGAAGACACAAAAAGCAATGGAAAGCAACTTCAGTTCTAAGGCGAAATCAACCATTTGGCAAACTTGCACACATTTAGGACCTGAATCACTTGTCATAGCTGATGGAAACATAAATTTGTCTCTCAAGAAGAAAATCCAGAGGCAGAATGGGCAACGGCTGTATGCCATCCCCCCAACTCACTTGTCATAAGAACAAAGTGAGAGGTTTATTTATGTTTTTGCTGTTTATATATATATA